TATAAAATTAACATCTTTTTTATACATTTTCTCTATCATTATTAATGAAAAATGAACCTTAATATCAAAAAATCTCTTCCTTCCACAATAGTGAAGTGCGCGAATTACATTTCACTTTTATATTCTAAAAAAGTATTATTCACTTTTATATTCTAAAAAAGTATTATTCGGTGTAGACTATGGACTTAGAAATTAATCCTTGATATTGGAGATTATCTCTTCACAGCCCATCCAATAGTTTTTATTTATAATTTGGCCCAAATACAGAATCTCTAGGATCATCAATGCACAAGCCTCTCGGTAAAAAAGGAACCATGTTACTCCTCGTAAAGGATTTGGTATACAAATGGAGCAACTGTGGTAAGAAAACAGAAACAAAGCCAGTGCAAAATGAAGAAACGTTTTGAGGCCTGAATTGATATCACCGTTTTTAAGGATTCATGAAATTTTGAATAATGAGCTTAATTTCATGAAGAGGAATGAGTTCACAATCACAATAATTTTAGTACAGAGATAATTAGGGCAGCATCAATTGGGAAAGAGGATGAGAACCATCCACATAATTTTGCAGTCTGCAGATATAACACTTTAAAGATCTGAAAGCATTGAAATTGACATGTGAGTGAATCGAAACTCACTCCTATCATGTAGACTCGCGCCAAAACTCCCACTTTCAAGTAAACTTTAAGCTAATCAAAACACGAAAATTCACCTAGGAGCTGCTACTTTTCTGCTTGGCCTTCTCAATGAGGGGTTTCAATTGCTTCTTCTCGGCAAGAAGCTTGAGAAAGTTAAATAGAAAGGGTATATAGTTGTGCTTCCGACGGATATTCTCAGTTCTCCACTTCTTGAATTTCTCCTCCTCCATCAAAATCTTCTCGGTGGCACCCTCAATCCCTGCATTTACTTCCGTAAGTTGTTTGTTTAGGGCTTCAAAGTTGGTTTTGTCTGACTGTAAGGTAGCCAGCTGCTGCAAGATGCGTTCCCTCTTTCTTTGTAGCTCCTTAAGTTCAGCAGTGTACATCTCTTTCCTGTTCTTTATAACAGCCATGAGGTTGAATCTTATCTCACTTTTAGCATATTTCTCTATGCGTTCTTGGATCACTGGTTGCACCATCCGCAACCATTCCATCTCACCTTGGCCAGCAGGGCACTGACCTAGGCTAATTGGTCCCTCCTTCAATCCATCAAGTTCATACAATACTCCATCAACAGGTATGTAGCTTATAAAATGGTAGATATCATCATCCTTAGCAGCAGCCTTCTGCTCTTCAGGAACAAAAGGCTCAGGCCTCGCAAAACTGTTATGGGCTGCCCGTATAGCATCACTGTTGTTTATAGCTAAACCTTTGAGTTCAGGTGGGAAGTTCTTAGTGAATTCTTTCAACTTCGAAAGTTCTGGGCCAATGTCAATATCTGGGCAGTTCATGAGGATAGACAATATTGCTTGTGTAGCACAAGCATTATTAATGACCTATCAGAATGAAGGAAAACAATAAATTAGAACTAGTTGCTAATCCATTTTTGCTCCAGTATATATATCAAAGGTATGGATGGTGACCTGGCTGGCGAAAAATAAGTTTGGGTTTGGGTCCTTGATTACAAGTCGGTCATCCTTCTCCCCAGGGCGCCATTTGAAAAGGAAAATCAACCCATACACTGGCCTACAGATTATAGCCAACAGTTAAGAACGAAAAACATACACAAAGCTGTACATAAATTTTCATTTTTATAGATAACAATCACAAGCAAGAGCTTACCAAAGACTTCTAAGGGAATCAAGGTCCAATGAATACAGCTCCTCAACCTGTTTAGACATATCTAGGCAATACTTCAGCAAAAAGGAACCACAAAAAATCAAAGATATAAGGGGAATGGATAAAATACTTTGATGAAAAGGAGGAATGGTGAAAACAGGAATGTGAATAACATGCATACATCCAATATAAGAAGCAACTACTTTTACCATTTTATGTGGCAATGTAAAAGCAACAATCAACCAGAAAACATTACATGTAATGTCTACTCAATATGATTGACATTCTAAACTTTAAATTAGAGGAACTTGCATGCTGGGATCCAACTGGAGTTTCTAACTATTAGAGATAGACTTATATACCGCAGGGCTTCTAAGAGCATCCAACCCACATATATTCATTTAAAATGAAAAAAAAAAAAAAAAAAAAAAAAAAAAAAAAAAAAAAAAAAAACGAAGAAAGAAAGAATGACCAAAGATGATTACATGACATATAAGAGATCAACAATGCCATGTTAAACAAATATTAAAGAAAAAGTTTACCTGCACACCCTTAACTTGCATCTGCTGTATGAGTTCTGTAAAGACACCTGCAATGTGTAGCAATAAAATTATTTTTTTGTAAACCAAAAACGAAACTCCATACAGATGACATCCATACGATGCCATGTCTTCGCTCTTCTGAGGGAAAAAAACACTAGAAGATGATTCTCATGTATAAGATTGTAGCTAAGCGAATTAGAAAGCTGACAGGAGGAGTAATTGGTGAACAGCAGAATAGACATTCCAGTTTGTTACTTTGTTATTGATGGAATCATAGAATAGACATTCCTCATTTACTACAATCTCAATCTAATTTATCTTATTTGTATAGTTTGACCAAATAAATAACTTTTCCATCAATCAAACATGCTGAAATATTATAAGTGTGACAACCAAAAGGACTAGAAAGTAGAGAGAAAAACTATCTAACACTTGGATTTAAAGTGAGAATGTTTATTTGATATTGTTGTTACATCTAGATGAGAAAAGTGAGCTTCAACCAAACCAAGGACATGAGATTAGCTCCATAACAAAGATTAAGTTAGCCCTAAAAGCAAAACAAAATGATTTCAATTATATAATTAATTTTATGCAAACAATAATTCCCAGTTCATCCATATTATTATTTCCCTGACATGACCCCCTCCAAACCCTTGTGGTGAATCAACCATCCAAAAGCTCAAGAAGGTCATCTAACTCATGTTAAATATAACTAAATACAAATTAAGTGCAAAGCCAGCTATCAAGAACATGCACTCCACCAATACATTAGAATAGATCTGACCAAAGTCTTGTCCATCAACTGTGGTGAGAGGAATGGGGAAAAAAGACGAGATAAGATAGGGAGACTCAACTACCCCAACAGTCATCACCAACCCCAGAAAACAAATGACTGGAGAAAATAGATCAATAAACTGACTTCAGATGACTCCAAACAAGATAGTTTCATCACCTATTAAACAATTCCAGCCACTTCGCAACACTTCCTAATTCCAATTACCCAGTGTTAAAGGCAAAAAGTGAGGCGAAGCGATGGCCTAAAAAATCTGAAGCAATGAAGCGAAGCAATCGCTTCTTTGAATTGAAGCGAGTAACACTTTGAAGTGATTAGTTATTAAATAGAATAGAACTAATTAGAATAGAAACTTAAGAGTATTAAGAGTGGAAAAGTAGAATATAGCGCAAGTAACAGCTTTAAATTAAATTCTACTTTGCTGAGTGCAAGTAGAATTAAATTCTGTTTTGGAATTAGAATTCAAGAGTCCTATAAAGTGAAAAATTGACTATTTCAATCTATACTATACAGATGATATTAAGTTTCTTAATCAAGGTCTCCTAGATTAGATAGATCTGAATACTATAAGTTTACCAACAAGAAATAGAACTGAAAGATAAAGGAGGGATAAAGAGGAAATGCATAGAATTAATATAATACTAGAGAATTCTGTTAATATTTACATGAAACTTTGTCTTAACTAAATTAAGATAATCAGTTGATAGAAAAAAAAAAAAAAGAAAAGAAAAGAAGAAGAAGAAGAAAGAAAGAAAGAAAGAAGAGAATATGTCATAAAGTTAGGGAAGAGGATGAAGTCAGGGAAGAAGAAGAGATGGGAAGGAGAATATGCAAATTAAAAAAATAAAAAATAAATAAATAAATAAAAAGAAGGAAGAAGAAGAAGAAACAAGAAAGGACTTTCCTGCAAATGGCAGCTGAATTTATGAAGCTAGGACTCTAGGAAGATGATGAAATCAAAAGACAATGAAATTACAAAGAAAATTAGGGGAAGAGGTAATCAATAGGCACAAAGCTTCCTGTTTCTGCCCTAATTGGAGCAAAAATTCCAATTTAAACCCTTGATGCTTCTATACTTTTTGTCATTTTGTGTCATTTTAAAGAAGCGATTGCTTCAACATCAAAGCGCTTTTATCGCTTCACTTCGCTTCAGTTGCTTTGGGACCGCTTCTTTTAAGTAGAGCACTTCAGAAATTTTCAAGCGGTGGTGCCTCTAATCGCTTCACTTCACCACTTAAAGCGATGAAGCGATCGCTTTTGACAACACTGCAATTACCTTTCTGCCATCGGTTGAAAGATCATTTTTTCCTTAATCTTCTGCAATGATCTTTTCTTTGTACCTCTGGGGTGTGTGGTCTGATTAGGGGCAAGGGTTGCTAAACAAGAGGAGTAGGATGAGATGTAAGTGGGAAACATGACTAGGATGCATTATATGCAGCAAATGAACACAAGAAAATCATCAAGACAAAATATCTATAAATTAGAAAACCAAAGAAAGCTACATATAGAAAATCTACCCATTTGCCTGGATTTTTTTTTTTTGGGGGGGGCAACATTAGCCAAGAATATTAATGCATGCTTACAGGCTCTCAAACTTCGATTTTGATAGATCACAATCTTCCTCTCTGCCCATGTGCATTGTTGTGCAGTGGGGGCTTAGAGACATTGCACAAAATACACTAGAATAGCCATAGGATGAAGAGTTTTCTTGATTATAGTCTTCCCATTGATTGAAGCAGCTTAAGCTGCTCTACGTACAGACAGCAGTTTACTGGATAAATAAAGCTTTACATTTTATCCAAAAAAAAACCCCTTAGAATTTGAACGTAGGAGAAAACAAACAACCTTATTTATACAATAACATCTAATTCTAAATTCAAACAATCTTCACACACTTTCCCTACTCTTAAAGTCTGAACTACAACCAAAGATGCACACTTTGTAGCTAAACTAGAACGATCAGGATTCACCCAAACAAACAATGTAAATACCCAAATTTCATTGGCTTTACTTACAGCTTCCAACATATACTCCTTATCAAGGAATAGTGCCTTAATCACTTCAAGCACCATTTTAAATAGAGAAAGTAGTAGCACCTTATAAAATCCTTTTCTCACAATTAAAACTAGTCATTCTCCGAAAACATGAAGACAATTCAATATTCAAAGAATTTCAATTCTACAATCTGGTTTCACAGGAGAAACACGCGAGAGATAAGACTGCAAACTGACAGCTTCGAAGAACTTAAACAAATTCTAATTTTGACAAACAATTTTCAAGACTCCGATTCCAACATCTTCAAAGTAAAAACCCACAAATTAAATTAGCAAGATTAAACTACCCCAAAAAAGAAAAAATTCAAATTCGAAACCCTTTTTTTTTTTCGATCCAGTGCCCTAACCCATTCACTTAATTAAAATAAAGACTTCCCTAAAATTTAGATACAGTAGAGCTAGAAAAGGGGAGAAGGGCATACCAGGATCAGACTCGATTGTGCACCAAGACATGACTGCAAATTTTCAGTAGCAACAAACCTAACAAAAGAAAAAGAAAAGGAATTGAAGCGTTTGATTCCTAATAGAAACTATGAAACAACTAAAATAAGAATCAAGTTGTTTCTCTGTATGTATTGAAAGATAGAGCAGTATGCAGATGAAAAGGCCAAAGAAGCATACTTTCTTTCGCACCCTGAAACCCAGTAAGTAAGAAAGAAGTTTCCTGATAGAACTGAAACCTAAAAACAGCGTCGGAGTCGACAGAGACCCAAAAAAAAAAAAAAAACAAAGTTTTTGCAGTCCGGACTGCTGAAGACTGTATGGTCTTTTTTTCAAAAAAAAAAACATTTTGCAGTTCGAAGGGCTCGTTGTCTAAAGTAAAGAATTGGATTGGATGGATACGGTTAAATGCTAAATTTGGTCCCTCAACTTTATTAAGTTGCATATTTTTGGTCTCTCAACAAATTTTTGCACTTTTTTGATCCCTCAACTATATGAAATGCATTCTGTTAGTCCTTCCATCTAATTGGGCCGTTAACTCCGTCATGTGGCATTTTTTACATTTTTTTTATGATTTGGATAGTCCAACTGGAAAAAATGATGATATGGATCGTCCAACTAAAAAAAATGATGACATGGAGATAAATTTTTATATTTTTAATAATAAAAAAAAAAAAAAAAACCTTTCCCCTGTTTTCTTCCCCCTCTTTCTTTTTCTTTCGTTTTTCTCTTCCTGTTGCCTCCTCTACTGACTGAACCTTGCCAAGCTAAGATCTTCCCCCCTTTTTCTCTTCTTCCCCCTCTTGCTTTCTCTTTCTTCCTCCTCCTACTGCAGCCCACCAAACCTTCTTCACCCTTTTTCTTTCTTCCTCCTCTAGCTACTGGGTTCATTTGAACCCAGAACGCCAGGTTCTGGGTTTCATGGAACCCAGCAATCTGGGTTCCATTGAACCCAGCAATCTGGGTTCCATTGAACCCAGATCCGGGCTTTGCGAAACCCAACTATCTTGGTTCATTTAACCCAGATCGCTAGGTTCCACAGAACCCGGATTTAGGTTCCACAGAACCCGGATTTAGGTTCCACAGAACCCGGATTTGGGTTTGTTTGAACCCAATTTTGGGTTCCATGGAACCCAGCAATTTGGGTTCCGTTGAACCCAGATCCGAGTTCCGTTGAACCCAGATCCGGGTTCTGCGAAACCTAGCTATCTGGGTTCGTTTAACCTAGATCACTAGGTTCCACAAAACCCGGATCTGGGTTAGTTTGAACCTAGTTTTGGGTTCCATGGAACCCAGCAATCTGGGTTCCATTGAACCCATATCCGGGTTTTGCGAAACCCAACTATTTAGGTTCGTTTAACCCAGATCGCTAGGTTCCACAGAACCTGGATCTGGGTTAAGTAATAAACCCAGTTTTGAGTTCCATGGAACCCAGCAATCTAGGTTCCATTGAACCCAGATCCGGGTTCTGTGAAACCCACCCAGCTATCTGGGTTTGTTTAACCCAAATCGTTGGGTTCCACAGAACCCGGATTTGGGTTAAGTAACAAACCCAGTTTTGGGTTCCATGGAACCCAGCAACATGAGTTTAAGGAACTTGAATTTTTGGGTTTTCAAACCCATGTTTATAGATTTTTTTGGTTTAGTAACTCTAGCAATTTCTATGCATATATTGAACCCTTTTGTTTGATGGATTTTTGTTTCAAATATTGTGGTTGTGAGATGTGCTAATTTAGTATTATGAATGCTGTAAAATTTTGTTTGTATGTTTTTATTTGGCTATTTCTCTTGTGAGTATATGATCATTAAGCTAGATTAAAGTAGTATGAATTTTTAAGATTTTGATTTTGTTTTGAGAAAGCAAGAGGGGAAGAAGTGAAAGAGGGGGGAGAAGGTTTGGTGGATCCTAGCTTTGCTGGGTTCGGTCA